ATAAGACTATGATGTTCAATGAGGTCAGGAGAGTAACGCATGAATAAAATGAGAATTTCAGCAAAGAGATAGGAAATATTAAAAAGCACCAAACAGAATCGCAAAGCTGAAGAATATGTAACTAAACTGAAAATCCCACTAGAGGGGTTCAACAGTAGACCATATCAAGGGAAAAAAAGATTAGCAAAATCAAAGACAGGGAAAAGAGCAGTGAGATTTTTCCAGTCAGGAGAAAAAAGAAACAAAGAATGAAAAAGAGTGAAGACAGCTTAAAAGATTTATAGAACACCATGATTTATAGGACCATTCATTATATGGGTGCTAGAGGCAGAAAGCTCACTCAGGAAATATCTTGAGACAAACATGCCAAAACTTATGGGATGCAGCAAAAGCAGTTCTAAGAGGAAACTTTATAACAATAAATACTTACATTTAGGGGAGGGGCGGGCAGTCTCAAATAACCTAACTTTATACCTCAAAGAACATGCTGAAGAAGAAACTAAGCCCAAAGTTAGAAGAAAGAAGGAAATAACAAGGATCAGAGTTGAAATAAATAGAGACTAAAAAGACAGTAGAAAAGGAAGAATGCAACTAAGAACTTTAAAAAAAAATAGAAACAAGCTTTAGTCAAACTTAGTCAAACTTTTAGCTACACTTATCAAGAAAAAAAAATCTCAAAGATATACAATTGCAAATGTATTGGTGTACCACAGCAATACAAAGGACCATAGAGAATATGAACAATTACATAGCAACACATTGTACAACCTAGAAGAAATGGATAAATTTCTAGAAACACAGAACTTACAAAGAGTGAATCATAAAGAAATAGAAAATCTTAACAAACCAATTACTAATAAGGATATTGAATTAACAATCAAAAACCTCACAAGAAAGAAAAGTCCAGAACCAAATCGTGAATTCTACCAAACATTTAATTATTTAATAGCAGTCGTCCTCAAACCTTTCCAAAAAACTGAAGAGGAGGGATAACTTCCAAACTCATTTTACAAGGCTAGCATTACCCTGATACCAAAATGACAGACATTACAAAAAAAGAAAATTACCAGCCACTATCCCTAATGAACATAGATGCAAAAATCCTCAACAAAATATTAGCAAACCAAGTTGAGTAGTATATTCAAAGGATCATATACCATAATCAAGAGGGATTTATTCCAGGGATGCAAGAATAGCTCAACATACCCAATCTTTGCAATACTCCACATTAACAAAATGAAGTATAAAAATCATATAATCATTTTTATAGGTGCAGGAAAAGCATGTGACAAAATTCAACATCCTTTCAAGATAAAAAACTGATTATAAAAAGAATGTACCTCAATATAGTAAAGGCCATATATGAGGTCACAGCTAACATCATAGGCGGTGATCAAAAGCTACAAGCTTTTCCTCTGAAATCAAGAATAAGACAAAAATGCCCACTTTCACCACTTTTATTCAATATACTACTGGAAATCTAGCCAGAGTAATCAGGAAATAAAAGACACCCAAATCAGAAAAAAAGAAGTAAGTCCATCACTATTGGCAGATGACATGATAGATATAGAAAATTCTAAAGACTCCATCAAAAAACTGTTATAACAAATTCAGTAAAGTGTCAAGATGCAATATTAATATACGAAAGTCAGTTGTATTTCTATACACTAACAATGAACTGACACAAGAGAAATTAAGAAAATAATCCTGTTCATAATAGCATATGAAAATAAAATAGAAATAAATTCACCAAGGAGGTGAGAGATCTGTACACTGAAAACTATAAAATATTGATGAAAAGACATTGACGAAGACACAAGTAAATGGAAAGATATTCTGTGTTCATGGATTCGAAAAATTAATATTGTTAAAATGCCTATTCTGTTTAAAGAAATCTACAGATTCAGTGCAATCTCCAGCGAAATTTCAATGGCATTTTTCATAGTAATAAAAAAAAAATAATAATCCTAAAATTTGTATGGAACCAAAAATACCCAAATTAGACAAACAGTCTTGAGAATGAAGAACAAAGCTGGAGTCATCATACTTTCTGAATTCAAACTATATTACAAAGCTATAGTAATCAAAATAGTATGGTACTAGCATCAAAACAGACATATAGATGAATGGAACAGAATACAGAGCCCAGAAATAAACCCATAAATACATGGTCAACTTATTTTGACAAAGGAACCAAGACTATACAATGGGGGAAGGATAGGACCTTCAATAAATGGTGATGGGAAAACTGTATATCACATGCAAAAGAATAAAACTGGACTCCTCTCATTACGCAAAAATCAACTGAAAATGAATCATAGTCTTGAACATATAACCTGAAACTGTAAAACTTTTAGAAGAAAGCATAAGAGGTTTGGGGGAGGAAGAATCTTTCCTCTACCCTTCTAGGTTCTTCCAGCCAGTCTAATAATTAAGTCAACATGAGACAGATTAACAAAAGAAAATAACCAAGTTTAATTACATCTGTAAGTATTGGAAACCTTACATACATGAGAGGTCCAGAGACAGGAAATATGAGGTATATATAATATTCTGAGTTAAGACACCTTGGGGCAGACAATAAGGTGAACAGATAGATGTTCAGTAATTAGAAGTTTGCCCTGCCCTATAGATAAGTCATAAAAATTATTTCTGAGAATAACTTATTATGGGCAAAGCCCCTCATTTAAATTCTTTAAGGAAGTTAAAAGTGTTTTATAAGCTCACAGAATCTCTGTTGCCTTTCAAAATAATGTACATGCCAAAGTAGCACATCTTGGGGAAGCCTGTTTTGAAAAGCTTCTTGACATTGGTCTTGACAATGATTTTTGGATTTGACACCAAATGCTAAGGCAACAGAAGTAAAATAAACAAGTGTGACTACATCAAACTAAAAAGCTTCTGTACAACAAAGGAAACCATCAACAAAATGAAAAGGCAACCTATGGAATAGGAGAAAATATTTGCAAACCACATTTCCAATAAGTGGTTAATATCCGAAATATTCAAGGAACTCATAGAACTCAATGGCAAAACAAAACAAACAAAAAGAACAATTAATTGGGCAAAGAACCTAAATAGACATTTTTGTATAGAAGACATACAAAGGGCCAATAGGTACATAAAAAAGTGCTTTTATTCACTAATCAGAGAAACGCAAATTAAAACCACAATGAGATTACTTCACACTTGTTAGGATATCTATTATTAAAAAACAAGAAATAACAAATGCTGGCAAGAATGTGCAGAAAAGGGTACCCTGTACATTCTTGGTGAAAACAAACTGGTACAGCCACTGTGGAAAACAGTATGGAGATTTCTTATAAAACTGAAAACAGAACAGCTATGTAATCCAGCACTCCACTTCTGGGTATAGATCCAAAGGAAATGAAATCATTATTTCAAAGATATATCTGCATTCCCATGTTCATTGCAGCATTATTCACAATAACCAAAGTGTGGATGCAACCTAAGTGCCTATCAACAGATAATGGGTAAAGAAAATGTGGTATTTGTGTATACACATTCAGGCATGCATGGGGGTAGGGGGAGGGGGAGGGAGGAAGAGAGAGATTATTCAGCCTTAAAAAAGGAAATTCTGATGTTTGCACAATGAACCTGAAGGGCATTATGCTAAGAGAAATAAGCCAGACAGGGAAAGGCAAATACTGCATAGTATCACTTATATTTGGAATCAAAAAAATTGAACTCATAGAAACAAAGAGTAGAAAAGTGGTTGCCAAGCGGCTGAGGGTAGAGGTTGATAAAAAATATAATCTTTCAGTTATAAAATGAGTTAAGATCTGAGGATCTAATGTATAACATGGGGACTAAAGTTGATAACATTGTAGAATATATTTGAAATTGCCTAGGAAAGAACTTAAATGTTCTTTCCACCAAAAAAAAAAAAAGTAAATATGTGAGTTGATGGATCTGTTAACTCAATGGAGGAATCCTTTCACAATGTATACATATATCATCATATTGTACACTTTATCACAATTTCACTTATCAAATATACCTCAATAAAGCTGAAAAAATACCTGCTAGATGTAGTTTTCTTAGTAGATTGTTTACCTTTTTTTGTTTTTTGGCTTCTTTGCTTGCCTCTTTACTGCTCTTAGGTTATATTTGACTTGGGCTATAAAGTCACAGTACTACATTTTAGCCAAAAACAAAAAAGAATTCAAATACCCATCAGTAATAGAATGATTAATTTGTGGCATGTTCATATGATGGAAAACTGTACTCAGTGAATAAATACACAAATAAAATGCAAAACATGTAGCCATATGGATGGATATCCCAAACATAATGCTGAACAAAAGAAGCAAGACACAAAATAAGCTTATACTATATAATCTCATAAACATATGTGTGCATGTATATGTGTGTATGTATGTATGTATACGGTTTTGCCTATTTTAATACTATATATACTATATATTTAATATTAGTATTTTTAGTATAGTATTTTTATACTAATAGGCAAAACTATATATATATACACACATATATATGTATACATACACATATTCAGTAGGTATATAGTATCCTATATATAGTGTAAAATATATAAAATAGTCAAAGCTACGTATGTGTATTTATAACAAAAATAGGCAAAATTAATCTCTTCTGATAGAAGTTACTATTACGGGGACAATGCCTGGAAGGAAGAATTAAGGAGATTCTGGGGTGCAGGTATATGTTTAGTTTGGTTATTACTCACTTGGGTATTTCATTTGCGAGCATCTGTAAGCTGTAAAATTATGTACTTTTCTGTGGATCATACTACAATAAAAAGTTTGCTTAAATTGTGTTTTAAAGTCAATTGAAATAGTTCTTTTCTGATGTGGTTATGTTACAGCTTAATATAGAGTTAGATTGAGCATTATTAAAAATAATTTGCACTCATTTTTGCATGCAGACACCCAGAATATGAGATTGGTAGTCTAGATAATGCTATCCATAGCCATAAACTTGGTCCTTTGATTTCTCAGGAGAACTTGTGCCTGTCAAGGGCTGGACCCAGAGACCTGTGGTGCCTCCTTTTCTTTTGGTTGTTCATGGAGCATGTACTACAATGGATGTAAGTTTGCCAGAAGCAAGATACCAAGAAAATTTAAGCTGCTTGGGGATGACCCAAAAGAGGTTTGTTTACTTCCTGATGTATATAATCTCTTTATTTTTCATGGAAAATTGATGAGCACAGATGAACAATATGACATACTCCATTAAGCTCTCATTAACAAAGAATTTCATCTCAGAGATGAACAAAAATTTTGCTAAACTGTAGACACATTATAACAATTTATTAAGTTAGCATAATAACCATATTATACCAAAGTAATAGATAAAATTTGAGCAACATAAACTGTTCATACTTATGGCCTTTTATATTCTTTCTCTTTTATGTTAAATCCAGAGTTTTAAACAGCTGTCATTTCAGTATTAAATCTAAATGTAAACACTTCAGCCTTAAAATTCCATCTTTGAAGCTGAATAATAGAAGTCATACTCATAACTGCCACATTCAGAAAAGACCATCTCTGGTAACATTTTCACATCATGAGATTTGATAGTTTAAAGTAACTAAAATATATTTAGATTTTCAATATAAAAGTATAATTGAAATAAATGAACACTGATTTCTCATTGAAGTCAGTTTTTTGTCTTTTCTCAAGAATATATATTCCTCAAAATATAACTTGCAGGTTGGTATCAAATTAACAACTTTGGGGTAGTATGCATTCTAGAGTATACTAACTGAATAATCACAAAACCTCAGTATATTTAGCATTTAGATATAATCAAATTTTTAGTGACTGTGCACCTTATAATATGCAGTATGCTATGGATATTACAATAGTGATATGTCCTTCTAAATGAAAAATTTATTAACTTTATTATTTATGACTATAAGTGGAAATTTAATAAACTGCAAAAACTCTTGAAATCATGATATAAATTGTTTTCATAGGATCATAATTTTAATAAATATTAAAAATTACTTAAATATTACTTAAATATGCTAGATATCCTCTTTTCATAAGAAAAACATGAATATTTAATATGCCTAATGAAGAATAGCTGTTTTGCACTCCATCAGCCACTTTTATTTTTCACACTGGAGAGCTTTTTCACCACTATTTGATGTAAACCAAATCCAGGGAATAACTAGTAACATCCTCCCTCAGTTATGCAGGAGGGCTCCACTCAAACCTTCTCACTTTATAAAATGCAAACAAGTACATCTCTGCCAGATGGTTACATCTCTTAAGATTTTTAGAGAAATCTCAATGTGAAATGAGAACTTCTAAGCATGAATGGAACAACTAAATATCACCAACAATTTTAAAAAGCATATTACTTTGAAAAATCTGTTCTTTATTGGAGAGAGAGTAACCGAACATTCCTCCTTTCAAATGAACTTTACAAAGTTCTTAATGTTTATCACATTCTAGTTCTGAAAGTTCTATCTGTATTTGAAGCGTCCAGTCTAGTAATTTTTAGTTGTTATATGTAGGAAGCATTTCAAGTTTTGAAATGCTATTTTGGTAGATGTTTAAAAGTATAATGATTAGAAATAGACAAATTAAACCAAACAAATCCTTTCAATAGCCTATCTTCTTTGACAGCTAATTGGAGAGGGAGTGAAAAATATAACCTCTTTAAGACCAGATGGCTTCATTTTCCTAACCCTACTGTCAGTATAGGCTTATATTTTAAAATGCCAACTATCTGCCAAATAGATGTTTAATAACACATACAAAAATAGGTAATATATTACATATACTTTCACTTAGAAATAATCATGTTAACATGCTTTAATTATTTGACAAGAAAGATAGTATATAGTTATTTGGATCCAAGATACGGGGGTAGGGGAGAGAATCTAACTGATAGCTTCTCTCATATACAGAGAGAATGGATTTAGAATTTAATATGTAGAATTATTCATTTTATACAGGAAGAGAAACTGGAGTCTCATTTACAAAACCTGTCTACTCTTATGGCACCAACATACAAGAAACTTGCACCTGATGCATATAATAATCAAGTAAGTTTAAATAATTATTTACAATGACTGGAACCATCAACTTACTCATTATTGATGACCTACCTACCTACTTCCAAAAATATTTTTGAAACAATGATTGTCCTTTATTTTTCTAACTTTTTCTCTTTCCAATTGTTGAAGCCACAGCAGTGTTCTGTTTCTGGTCTATGAAAATTACACCATACATAGAGTGTACTTTGGCCTTTAAAATATGTACATATGAGTTTTTAAGGCTTGCAATATCTACTAATCTTATTCTCATACAAATACTTTTGTTTCTGCAAACAGACTTTGATGATTGATTAAAATTATGTGACCCAAACTATAGGCTCTAACCACCTCATAATGGTTTTTACAGAAAGTTTATACATATAAAGTTGTAGGAGTACTGCTTTGTAAGTGTACACACGTGTCCAGATATGCCATTATTTTGCTAGATCTAGATTTTTTTTCTTTTTTTTTTTAGGAGAGGGGCTTTTTTTCCTATTTAATGTGTATTCTAGACTGTACCTATTTAGAAGGCCAGCTGATTTGTTCAGAAATGCTCATGAAGGAGACAAAAGACTATAAAATCTTTCCTGTTTCAGTAATAACAACAAAAGCATTAAATGGAAACCTGTTACAAATGAGATACTGTGTTTAGCCGTCGTGGACATAAAGATGAGCCTTGCTAAAGACAGTGTCTGGTTTCTAACAGGTTTTCATATAAGGAATTCCTTTAGAAGAGACAAAGATATGTAAAATAGCAACTGCAGAATAATGCTATAACAGCTGGGAGAGAGGTATGCACACATTTCTGAAGAAATGAAGGTTCTCCTTGAAAGTAGAGATGTAAGGTCACAAATGTCCTTGAGCCCACGTAAAGATCTTTGAACTTTATCTTGTAGGTAAGAAGGCTACCATTGGGCTATGTTAACTGTATGTTCAGGATAGGGGAGGGTGAAGTGATTTAATTTAAAAAGGGCACTCAATTAGCCAAATAGATGAAATATAACTTAGATTAGTATATGATTAACTTATAGAAGAAATAAGCTATTACAATCACTGGGTAAGAGATGTGAAGGTCTTCAAAGAGATGGCAGTAGTGGTGGAGAAAAGGAAGTAAGTCTGTGAAATATTTTGAGGTAGAACATATAGAACTTAGTGACCAGTCGGATTTGAGGATCGGAAAAAGAGAGATTTTGAGGATCCACGAAATGTCTGGCTTGGACAGGTTGCTCTATTAACTAGTATCAGAATCCGTGAGGAAAAGTTGAGGGGAGGGGAGAGGATGACAAATTTCACTTTGGATGTGCTAGGTTTGATGTACTTCTAGGATAACAGATGGAAAATTGGGAGACAATCCAGGCTAGCACTGTAGATTTGAGAGTTATCAAAAATGCAGGAAATAGTTCAAGGTGAATACATAGGCATAAATACCATTTTTTCGGAGTGGAGATTATAAAGAGGAGGAGGGGCTAATGATACTGATAGGATTCTGGAACATAACATTTTAGGGGAGAGTGGAGGAAGAGAAACCAGTGAAGTCAGTGCTAGGGGTAAGAGCAATAGAGTAGGAGAGGTTAAAAGATTGAATGGAAAGCGGGAGACTGAGATGGAGGAAAGCTAGAGATAATAAGAAGGTATGGAGCAGAGCACACAGCAGAAAGGGGTAAGGGGAAGCATGAAGGGTAGTAGTACATTGACAAACATTTACTTAACATTGAAGACTAATGGGATTAGATTAGTTTACATAGCAGATACAGAGGACCAATCCTAATTAATGATTTAGCTACTCTTGTTTCCATTGTGGATGTTAACACTTTCCCTAAACATTGACTCTTTTTTTTTTTAATAGGAGCAAAGGAAGCAAATTTAATAATGATGGTCTGTTTATAAGTCGTTTTGTGTCACAACTTAGATTTTAAGAAATGTATGTGAATGTCTATGAGAATTATTTTAGGCATAACTTCTGAGATGTGTTTCAATATTTATAAATGGATAAATGTGTAGATGTGCTAATCAATGGCATAAAGCTTCAGTTAAACAAAATGAATAAGCTCTAGAAAGCTGCCGTACATGTATACCTATAGCCAACAATAATAAATGTACACTTAAAATTTTGTTAGAAGAGTAGATCTCATGTTAAGTGCTCCTACCACAATAAAATTTAAATACTATATTGATACATAAAAAATAGATGTAAAAAAATATAAAAAATCAATTAATGGCTGTGAATGAATAAGGTGTCTATATAAAAAATCAATTAATGGCTGTGAATGAATAAGGTGTATTTTATATTGCGTGGTAGGTACTATTGATAATGTTTATCTATATGCCTTAATATGGTTTTGAGATTTTAAAAAAAAAAAACAGCCATGTGATCTTTCCACACAGTATATGGGAAGACCTTTTGAGGTTAAGGATGCTGTCAAAGCCTACAATTCGATCTGCCTCCTTCCAACTAAATGTGCTTCCTTGCTTTATTCCTTGATTTCTTAGTCAAAATTTTATTGGTAAAGTTAAACTTCATTGGGTCTTTATAGCATTTCTTCTGTCAACTCCATGGAATTAGAATATATGTTTTCTCAATTTAAATATTCTTTCTTCGTATCTACCCAATGAGCTTACATTCACTCTGTGTTTTCTATAGTTGTCTTACCATTAAACTTTAGGTCTGAATTAGCAGGTTTGTATCTCAAAATCATGTGCTTTCATCATATGTAAAAATGACTTAAGACCTGTGCTATCCAAGAGAACTTTCTATGGCAATGGAAACATTCTCTGTCTACAAGTTGAGTACAAAGCTGCTAGCCACATGTGGTTATTGACTACTTAATATGTGGCTAATGCAGGTGAGTTAATAAATTTTTATTTTTATTTTAATTAGTTTAAATTTAAATCACCATATGTGGCTAGCAGCTACCATATTGAACAGCGAAGCTTTATATCATTAGAAAGCCATGCATTTAGAATTGTCTTCCAGACATGGAGATGAATTTTCAGTAATTCATTTCACAAGCCCCTGCATGGTATTTCTTATAAAATGGCATGTCTGTCTAATGACCAACTAGATTGTCTATACATTTTTATTCAAGGAACAGAATGACACTAACTATACCACAGCATAGACTAAACAGTCACAAACCACACAGCTGTGAAACAGAGTGGTAATTAAGCACCTTCACTTTTCTTTGGCCAGAGTCTTATAAGTTTCAATATACAAATATACTATGTGAACCCAGTGGTAAATAATATTCAAGCCATCAAAAACATTATCATGTTGTAAGTTTAGCTTCTAGCCATCATGGATTAACAGGGACTGGATTTACTTTTACACGTTAAAAAAAAAACACACACAAAATATATGAAACAGTTGTCTTTATACATAGGACAAGAAGAAACACAACACAGTAACACCAGAGAAAAGAAAAATAAAAATAAAAAAGGTGAACCTATGATTACCCCAACCTGTTTTCTGAAGAGCACATTAGGCTCCAGGTTAGGGAGAAGGAACAGACCCCATGATTATCTCTGCATTAAGGAGACAAAGTTCAGAATTTGGGGAAGTAAGCTTATAGAATTCACTACTCAGAGTACCAAGGAGGAGAGAGCATCATATACATCTCTCCAGAGACCTATAGAGTGTTCTGCTTGAGTCTTCAGCTGAGTACTGAACAGTGCATGCATATGAAGAGCTTACCAAGGCTGTGGAACAAATTATCAAAAGGAGAAAGCAGAACATTCCCTTGGTTTCATACAGGACCTGGAATAGTTTTTGTTAATACCACTCAGAAGGAAAAGACCTCCTAACATACAAGATGACAAATAGCATATTCAGAATTTTATGACCTTGGTAGCAGGAGTCAATTAGGCTATTCTGGTCCTATCTAAAGATGTTTAAAAATCATGACTGGAAAGGATCAGACTGATTCCAAGTAATGATTCCAAGTAATTTAACAGCATCCCAGAACAAAGACTTAAAAAAATCCCAAAAACAACAAGGTAAAATTAATAATATCTAGCATCCCATCAAAAATTACCAGACATACAAAGAAACAAGAAAATATGAACCATAATGGCGGCGGGGGCGGGGGGGTGATAATCAATAGAAATAGTTCCAGAAATGATATGTGATAAGAATATGTAGACAAGGACATTAAAATTATATATAAATATATATTATATATATAATTTGTTTCAGACAACAGAGGAAGGTATGAACATGATAAAGCTAAGAAGATATCAAAAAGACATTAAACTTCTAGGGATGAAAAATATATGATGTCTGGATTGAAAAAAAATACACTAGATGGAATTAGCAGATTAGTGAGCTGGAATTCATAGCAATAGAAATCTTCCAATATGAAATACAGAGGAAAAAAACAGGAAAAATAATGGCTAAAATTTTTTGAGATTTGTTTAAAACTATAAGCTCATTAATCCCAGAAGCTCAGCAAGCCCCTAGTAAAGGGGGGTGGGGGGTAAAGAGACATGAAGAAAACTATTTAAAAGGTACATTAAAATCAAGTTGCTTAAAGTCAGTGATAAAGAGAAAAATGTGAAAAGCAGATGGAGAAAAAAAGACATTACATATAATGAGGAAAATGATAATAAACACAGGAGACTTCATGTCAGAGAAAAATGCAAGAAAGAAGATAGAGGAGAAATATTTTTAAAGTACTAAAAGAAAAAAAACTGTCAACCTAGAAAACCAGTGAAAACAACTCAGAAGTAAAGGCAAAATAGTTGGTTTTTTTTTTTTTTTCAGACAAAAGCGAAAATAATTTACCACCAGCAGACTAACATATCAAAAATGTTAAAAGAAGCCCTCTGGTAAGAAAGTAAATGATACCAGATAGAAATCTGGATTGACAAAAAGAATGAAAAATATGAGTAGTAGATATGTGAGGAAAAACTTTTTTTCCTTATTTTAAAACTTTCTTTAAAAGATGATTTGCCAACTAAAAATATGTTAACAGTATACTTGAGGTTTATAACAGGTAGAAGTAGCAAAGAGGCTTTGGGTTTGGAAGTACAGTAGTTACCTCCCCCACCCTGTCTCTGGAAGATCCATTCTGATACCCCCAGAAGATGCCTGAAACTGTGGATAGTATGGAACCCCATACACACACACACACACACACACACACACACACACATATGTATATGTATATATATACACACACACACATATATGTACGTATGTATATACATATATACACACACGTTTTTATATATACATGTTTTTTCTATACATACATACCTATGATAAAGTTTAATTATAAATTAGACACAGTAAGAGATTAACAACAATAATAAACAATAGAACAATTATAACAATATACTGTAATAAAAGTTATGTGAATGTAGTCTCTCTCTCAAAATATCTTATTACCCTGTACTCTCCTTTTCACTTAAAGGGAGCATTACAGCTTCTCTTTGGCATATCCAAATAGCCAGCATCACTACTCTTGTATTTTGGGACATTATTAAGTAAAATAAGTGTTACTTGAACAAGCACTGGGTACCACAACAGTTGATCTAACAGCAAGATGACTACTAATAGACTAACGGGCAAGTAGGGTTATGCATACAGCTGGAGATTCTGGAAAAAGGGATGATTCACACACCAGCTAGGACTGAGCAGACTGGTGCAAGATTTCATCATACTACTCAAAATGGTGTGCAATTTTAAACTGATGAATTGTTTATTTCTGGAATTTTCCATTTAATAGTTTTGGACCATGGTTGACTGTGGGTAACTGAAACAGTGGAAGAAAAATTGTGGATAAGGGGAGATACTGTTATAAGGTTCTTATTTTCTGTATTGAGCAGTACTTGAATGTAGATTGTGATAAGTTAAAGAATACACTATAAACTTTAAAGCAGGCATTCACTAAATTAAAGCCAATTAAATTATATTAAAAGTACATACCAGAAAGATACCTACAAAATCCCCAGGTATCTGAGCAACATATTTCAAAATGACCTATGGATCAAAGAAAAAATTACAAGGGAAATTAGTATTTTGAAGTATTTCAAATGGAATGAAAATTAAGACATGATATTGAAATTTGTAGGATGAAGCTATAAAGCCTTGCTTAGAGAGACATTTATAGCATTGAACACTGATATTAGAAAAATATGTCTCAAATCAATAATCTTTGCTTTTACCCTAAGAAACTTAAAAAGGAGAGCAATTTTAGCCCTAAAAGGCAAAATGAAAGAAAAACTAAAGAAAACAAATTAATGAAATAAAATACAGAGAACGAGAGAATGAATCGGTGAAATCAAAAGTTGGTACTTTGAGTAAATTCAGTTAGAAAAAACATAGCTATAAATTGCCAATATCAAGAATTAGAGATGAGACAGATTTTATTATAGACATTAAAAGAATGGTAAAGACGTGTTATTAAAACTCTATGTCAATAAATTCAACAACTTAGCTGAAATGTGCAAAGTCCTTGAAAAAGACAAATTATCAAAGTTTAGTAAGGAAAAAAATATATCATGAATAGTCCTATATCTGTTAAATTGAACTTGTAGTTAAAACTTTCCACAGAACTCCAGGCCCAGATGATTTTCCTTCCAAATTTGACCCATTAATTAAGGAAGAAATAATAACAATTCAATAGGAAACTCTTCTAGAAAATAGTAAAGGAGTAAACACATCCAAACTCATTCTATGAGGCTGGAATATTCTTATCCTAGAACTAGACGAAAGCATTAAAGAAAAAGAAAACTACAGTCCAATGTTCTTTCTAAATATTGATATGAAAATTCTTAACAAATTATAGCAAATTAGATCTGACAGTACATAAAAGGGATAATACATCACTACCAAATGGAGTTTATTTCAAGAATGCTTGGTTCATTTAACATTCAAAATCTATCACTATCATTCATCATAATAACCAACCTAACGGGGAAAATACCATTATCTTAATAAATAGGAAACAAACATTTGACAAAATTCAACATCCATAAAAGGGAACTTTCTCAGCCTGATAAAGGGCATAGATTAAAACAAACAAACAAACAAACCCGAAGCTAACGTCATATTTAATGGTGAAAAACTGAACACTTTGCCCCTAAGATTAGAAGAAACAAGACAAGGACTTCACTCTCACCTACTGAAAATTTTAGACAGTGCAATAGGCAAAGAAAAGAAGTAAAAAGAATATAGATTGAATAGGAAGAATAAAACTGCTTATTTGCAGACTACATGCTTGGATACATAGAAAATCCCAGAGAATCTCCCCTCTCACCTCCTTCCCCCCAAAAAACTACTAGAACTAATAAATGGTTTAGCAGAGTTGCAAAACACAAAAATCAATTCACTTTCTAATTCTACAATAAACAAAAATTGAAATGGAAACCAATAGCAATTAAAATAGCATCAACAATATCAAATTCTTAGGCATACGTTTTACAAAAATGTACAAGCCTTGTACACCGAAAACTACAAAACATTGCTAAGAGTAATTGTAGAAGACCATGTTCATGAGTCACAAAGATGGTATTATTAAGATGTTAATTGTCCCCAAATTAATCAATGAATTCAATACATGACCTACTGAAATATCACCAGGCGTTTTGAAGGAATTCACAAGGTGATGCTAAAACACATAGAAATGCAAAGGACCTGGAATGGTCAAATAGTTTTTTAAAACAAGAGCATAATTTGAAGATTCATACTCCTTGATTTCAAAATTTACTAAAAATCTATATTTATTAGTAATCAAGACAGTTGATATTGGTATACACGCACAGAAACATACCATTATGTACCAAAAGATCAGAACAGAGAGTCCAGAAATAAATCCAATATGTATAGTCAATTAATTTTCAACAAAGGCAATTCAAAGGGGAAAGGATAATCTTTTCATCCAGTGATGTTTGAACATTTGAATAGCCATACCGAAAAAAATAAACCTTCACTCTTAATGTCATACCATGTATAAAAATTAACTAAAAATAAATCCCTTTTTACAAAATTCTAGAAAATGAAAACTTATCAATAGTGACAGGAAGCAGATCAGTAGTTGCCTAAAAACAAAAGGGAGGCATGAATTATAAAGGGATAGGAGGAAACTTTTCAGAGTGATGGATATGTACTTTATTTTGATTGTGCAATAGTTTCATATATACATATGGCAAAATTCATCAAATAGTACACTTAAAATATATTCTATTTAATGTATGTCAGTTATACTTCGATAACACTGTAAAATAAAAACTTTACCATGACAAGGTATTTGCTTTGTGTCATTTCATCATTCGGGGTTTTGGATATAAAGTAAGCAGCATTTCTAAAAGTTCTAAATAGCCTAAATACTGTGTCGTTTTGATCTATTCAGTACATAGGTCTTGTATTTTTTTCATCAAATATGCATAAAAATTTCAAACGCCTCTGTAACTCCCCGGTCACACACTTTTATTTTTCAGATTGAATATGAACACAGAGCACCAGAATGCCGCCTGGGTCTGAAGGAAGGCCGTCCGTTCTCAGGGGTCACTGCATGTTTGGACTTCTGTGCTCATGCCCATAGAGACTTGCACAACATGCAGAATGGCAGCACATTGGTGAGTGGGGCTGAGGACAGGCTAGCAGCATATCCTGTTGAAGAGTAGAGGGCTAGAATTTAATAGCATTTGGTTAGGATAATATGTTCTCTGCAGGTGTCATACTGCATAACAGTGTTTTCATGAATGAACTGCTGTTGCATAATTATTTGGCATAAATAGTACTCTCATAACAGGTTGGCACATTAGTGGAAAACTGTGTTGACAAGCCCATGAAAATCATGGAAATTCTTGATGCTAATCTAAACCAGCAACTCTGCACTGCCAGCTACAATTAGCTGCCAACAAAAATATTTCAGAATTCAGTGTCAGATATCTGATAGGTTATAATCAGTTAAACGAAAAGCCATTTACGAGCCAAGGTACCGAGTCACCTTGCAATGAGAAGTACAAATGAAAAAACGCATTGTCATTATCACAGTAACTACTATAGAAAGTTCAAAGTGCAAAAGAGTCCATTAGAACTCCATATCACAATGGGTGAAATGCATGGGGCCTTATTATTGGATCTATGATAAGGGGAGAAAATGGATACAGTCTTAGGGTAGGGCAATATTCCATACTGACAAAGTCCAGAGTATGGCCGTGCCTATGTAGAAATGCTTCAGAGTAGAAATAAAGAATATGAGAGTTCAAACGAAGAAACTATAAATTAATCAACCTGACGTGTCATCAACATGGATATCGTTATAGTTCAAGAAGATGACCAGTGAGACTTAAGATGAAAAATAGAAGACAAGCACTAATGTTATATTCTAGGGTAGAAAAGACTTTGGGAACATAGTCGGCAATACTGGAAGTAATTCAAGGAGGCTGGCGCTCAAAGTTTTTGTTGAGAAACAGAGAAGAAGATGTTGGTTTAATGGTCTAGAGCAGGTGTCAGAAAATTTTTCTGTTAAAGGCAAGATATTAAATATTCTGTCAAAGGCTTTGCAAGTACATAGGGTTTTTATAGGGCACATTCTTTGGATTTGTTTTAATTTAAAAATCCTATAAAAATGCATAATCCATTCTTAGTTTGCAGGTCATACAAAAACAGGATGTGAAGCAGATTGGCCCCAGGCCCTATTTTGCTGATTTCTGATCCAAGAGAACAAATATAAGGCTTAACATCTGCAATATCTAAAATCATCACCAATCATGGATTGAGCACCTGCTCATTATTAGGAGGCTATGCTAGATTCCAGGAAGTAAAAGAAATAAATGATAGCTGGAGCTGAAGTAAGCCCTGAAGAGAACCATGTTTCACTCCAGCAAGGTGAGGGAGAGTGGGCAGGAGATGAGGAAGATGTCTTAAATGAAGGGGAATTTGCCTCTGATAAGTCACAGTTTCTATGAGGTGAAATGGAAAGAAGCACTAGATAGGAACTGAGTAGGGATAAATATGTGTGGGAAAAGGTGAAAAGTACTCAGAGATGGATTTGGAAGACTTATCTGTAGGAAGTAAAAAACTCATTTTAATACCATCTTGTATTAAACTTATTTATAAAGGTAAGTCTGTCATAATCATGATCACATTTTTTCCAAGAGTATCTTCCAATTTTATATTACCTTAGGTTTTAGATAACTGTGGTCACATTTTTTTTCCCGCTAATCAAAAACTAAAAATGAAAAGCTAGTATTTTAGAACCAACAAATAATGTTTCATCAAAACCAATGTGATTATGGCTAATAAAAAAAGAAGTACCATTAAATTGTCAAAGCAACAGAAATTGCTTTTTTTTCCTTCTTAGAGTACCCCCTTAATTGTAGAGATAGCTCAGAAAGGAAATGAGATAGAAGAGAAACAATAAGTTAGATTTAAAGGGACAGAGGAGAGAAAAGGAAGATAGGAACAGTGTTGGGTTACATGTTCGATATGTCAACCGAATCTCCAGTTTTATATTATTTAGATTTCACTTCAGTATTTTGTAAAATTTCTTAAACACAGTGGAGGAGAGTTAGGACTCAGATATGAGGAAAGATTTAAAATATCTTTGTGTACAAAAGTATGAGATGAGGCAAATGTGATATTACCAAAAACAGAGGAAGTCATTTGGTAGAACACACTTTCAGCTTCTTTCTGAGGCTTCGCATCTATCACATCTATTTTTGAAGTGTGAAAGTGGGAAATTGCTTCATTTTGGTAGGAGTAGTGCCACTTCTCTTAGACTTAGAAGTGAATGTGAAGAACACAGTCACCACAGGTAACAGTTCCTGATAGACACACACACACACACACACAAAGGTCAGTGTGAACTTGTCTATCTCCCTACACCATTTGGATAACAATCTTTATTAATAACAGACAGGCATGGTTTTATGGTCACTGATCCGATCCAGTAGACCACCACCGCAAATCTAAATACTGAGAGGAAGAAAGATACATACACACACGTGCACACATGTGCACACGTACACACTTTTCTTTTGGACTGAAACTGAGGCTGTACTATCTTATTTCCCTACCAGGTGTGCACTCTCACTAGAGAAGACAATCGAGAAATTGGAGGAAAACCCGAGGATGAGCAGCTCCACGTTCTGCCTCTCTACAAAGTCTCTGATGTGGATGAGTTTGGGAGTATAGAAGCTCAGGAGGAGAAAAAGCGAAATGGTGCCATTCAGGTACTGAGTTCTTTTCGGCGGAAAGTCAGGATGTTAGCAGAGCCAGTCAAGACGTGCCGACAAAGGAAACTAGAAGCCAAGAAAGCTGCAGCTGAAAAGCTTTCCTCTCTGGAGAACAGCGCAAACAAGAATGAAAAGGAAAAGTCAGTCTCATCTCGTACAAAACAGATGGAAAATGCAACCCAGGCTAAACAATTGGCAGGTAAATGTAACATGAAGCATCGTGGATATATGTGTTATGTTATACTTATGTTAAAAATGAGTGTTGTTAATTTCAGAAGGTTACATTTCATCATGGTCTTAGTTCTGAACCAGAATCTTCTCTAAAGTAGCAAGGGCTAGGCTTTGCTCTTGGGGATGTACCATCATCCACAGCTTGATGGGACAGTTCGGATTTTATTCTGTAATAAATGTCAAAATGTTATGATAGGTAAGTGATATGGTGAAATTAGTGTTAATCTAGCAATAGCAGGTAGGCCACAATAGAGGTACAGAGGTTAATAGTCTGCAGACAGATACAGTAAACCAAGAGTGAGCTAATAAGAGCTTGAATTTTGGTAACAATTAAGATATAACGAATTCTTCCAAAATGAATATTAATACACTGGTGACAAAACATTGGAATGCAAGTGAAGAAAAATTTAAGGATGACTGCAAAGTTTTAAGCCTAGATAATAAAACAGTACTATTTATTGAAATAAGTTTGGAAACAGGATTAATGGGGGGAGAGCAGGAGAATAAGATACTTTTCTTTTTCTTCTGTGTGGAGTAGTTTCTTTAAAATCAATCCTGAAAAGAAAACATGACTTTAAATATTCATATCTTATTTGTTTCTAAATGTCAGCAGTCTCGATCAGATTTGAAAACACTTTAAAACAAGTCCTTATCAACCTCTAAATTATTCTTGGTGCCCTTGATATCCCTCTGGCCATAATCTTGGAACCAGAAGGGCATATAAAAAGTCACCTTTAAGATACCTTTCTTTAGCTGTATTCAGTCTGAGGTTTAGGAGGTAGATCCACATGTGGTTCATATAAAGCTTTTACCCATCAAAATAGATCACATCTATAGTAGTAGCAACAGAGCATTATTTACTAAGCTGATATTTTCTTTCCAAAGCTCTTTGCTTTATGTCTGCAGTTACCACTGTGAAAAATCCTACAACAATGTAATGTCCATATCCAAATTTTAAAGATGTTATTGGGCTGGCCTTTAACAAAAGAAAAATGTATATCTTTTAAGTTTAGTGTCCCAGTTTGCTTAGAACGAACCATCTGTGCTTCACAAAGTCAAATTTCTCTGCTGATTCATTTTTGAAGGTCAAAGAAACTAAGTAATTTAGAACAATACGCTAAAGATGCTTAATAAATAATTGTTGATTGGTTGGCACACCTACGAGAAGTTAGTCCTGTCCAGTCCCTGACATCTCCCTTACATTAGCCGTGCAGTATAATTGGTTAGAACTTGGCCTCCAGTCCTTTCTAACCAGTTTCGGCAGTAATCATTAGTCATGACCACACTGCAGCTCTACATGTTCTTATCTCACATTACTTTTGTAAGTGAAGTCATGAAACAGTAGTATGACTTTTAAAAATTTCACTTGCAAAGCTAAAAGTTTCATTAAAGTTTTAATAAAACTACAACTGTGTGAATTTCCTTTCTCCAAAGTGTGCTAAAGAAATAGGGCTCACGTATTCTATAAGATGCTTTGGGTGTTTAAATGAATGCCATTCTTATTCTCATAGGATTGCTGGATCTTCCATAACAAATTTTCTACTACTTTAACGATTTAACCAATTTCATTGCATGCCAGGCAATGGAGAAATAAAGTAAAATAAGATGTGGTCCCTTCCCACAAGGAACTACTTTGCAGGAGGGTAAAGAGGGTACTAAGAACGGATAATTAAAGTACATGATGACTGTTGCTTTATCTGACTTATGTTGGCAGTGCATATTTACTGCAAAAGCACTAGAAGATGAGGTCGTAGAAGACTTCCTCCAGGAAGGGATGACTATACCAAAGGAGAGCAGGGAGATGAGCGAAGGGAGGAGGCACTTCAAGTAGAGATGGGTGTGTCATGGTCAGAACCCAGAAGCTCCAGAAAATATGATGCTCTCAATGAAATGGCTTTTGGATGTTTATTACCTTTTTCTTTGCTCACCAGATAGTAGTTATGAGGTCTCCCTTTTTATTTCTAATGCTTTAGACATAAAAATACTATGCCAGATGGTGATCAGAACCCTAACTTTGCTCTTGTCCTTGTTTGATAAGTGTTGCATAATCCTTGTGGTGGTTCTTAACATACATTTAAGCATCTTCACTAGCTTTCATAAAATAATAAACATACTGTCACTACTCTTTCTTATCGTGTCCACAGAACTTTTGCGACTTTCAGGACCAGTCTTACAGCAGGCCCAGCAGCCCCAGCAGCCCCAGCCCCAATCACAACCCCAACAACTACAGAAGCAACCTCCGCAGCCACAGAAGCAGCTACCACAGCCACCACAGCTGCAGCGACCCCAGCCGCAGCC